AAACAATTTCCTCAAGCCTAACCTTTCTCCCCACATGGACTGAGTCTGTTAGAGTACTAGCAACTTTCAGAAGCTGACCACATGCTGGCTTCTTCCTGGCTGGAGCATCTGAAGTAAGGAGATCTTAAAGGCTGCATCTCTCCCTCCCATATCTCTAAGATTCAATTTTAACACCACAGTCCTACGAAATTAACAGCTATTAAAAAAAACCACTCTGAAAGCATGCCAGATACAGAAACCAAGGTGTCTTAGTTAGGGTTTCTATTGCTGTGAAGAGACACCAGGACCACAGCAACTCTTATAAAGGAAAACATTTCACTGAGGTGGTAGATTACAGTTCCAGAGCTTGCGTCCATTATCATCATGGTGGGGACCACGGAGGCTGGGAGCATGGTGGTGTACAGGAGACGTGGTGCTGGAGAAGGAGCTCAGTGTTCTGCATCCTGATTCAAAGGCAACAGGAAGTGAACTGAAACACTGGGCACAGCTTGAGCATAAGAGACCTCAATGCCCACCCCCACAGTGACACACTTCCTCCAACAAGACCACACCTCCCTATGAGCTTATGGGGGCCAACTGCACTCAACCTACCACACATGGGCTTTGGCTAATGTCTGGAGACCTTCCAATAGATGTCTTTTTTATACAAGAGTCTAGAAAACTGAAGTTGGAGTCCTAGCAGCAAGAACAGAGCCAGGCTAGACCATGTCCCTAGCTTTCCGGGCCTCCTCTGGACCTGGAGATCGTCCTTCATCCGAAAGTCAAGCGTTTGGCGCCTGTTAGCTCTCACGAGGCTCTGTCAATAGAGAAAAACGAGCCCTAAGGCCTCAGGGACTACCTTAGTCACTCTTCTCACTCTTGGGACAGAGCACCCTGGCAAAGGCCACCCAAGAAAGGGTTTACTTCAGCTAATGGTTTGAGGGAACTCACTCCTTCATGGAGGGGAACACAGGATGCAGAAACTTGAGCAGCTCGTGTCCTATCCACCGTCGAGAACCAGACAGCAGTAAACGTTTATACTCAAGTTATCGTCTCCCTTTTATGCAGTTCAGGATTACAGTCTAAAGAGTGGGGTTACCCACAGTAAGCAGGCCTTCCATCTTAGCCAGCCCCGCCCAGACAGTCCCCACAGGCACGCCCACTGACCTTCCACATGATTCCAGGTCTCATCAAGTTGACAACTGAGATTAACCACGACAGAGTCATAACCCAGTGAACTCACACCAAGTCCCCTGCTGGGCACCAGAGCCTCTCTCCATGCAGTGACCTGGGGATCAGGCTCCTTCTGTCCCTTAAGCCCATACCTCAGCAGACCGCAGGTGGGTCATCACAGTAGGCAAGTGGAGAGACGGAGGAGCTATACCATCTCTTCAGTGCTCCGCACACAGACCTCAGTGGCCGCAGTGGCCAGACCTCAGTGGCCGTGGTGAACCCACAGAAGCGGCTGGAAAAACACTGGGTGATCGCTGTTGGATTCGGCCAGTGTGCCCATGATGATAACTTTTTCCTCTGTCTAAGTGAAAACATCCCACCCAGCAGGGAAGGCCTCATGGCACTTTATGTTGGAAAGTGAAGGAAGGAAGTCTTACAACTCAGACTGCCAAATCAAGCAGGGTGGAGAGGGGGGCTTGATGTCTGAGCCCCAAGCCCATCCACGGCATCTTCAAAAGCAGGAACCGTGTACACGTCGAGGCAGCCCCCTGCATCTGAGTCACGCAGGAAGCTTAGTGACCTTGGTGGTCTGAATTCAGGAGAGGGCTTGTATCACACTCTATAAAAATCATCCATAATGGGGCCTGGGAGACAGGAAAGTGCGTATCGAGTTCAATCCCCAGGCATGGTGGCATGTACCTGCAGCCGTTGGGGAGGCAGAGACAGGCAGACGCCTGGAGCTCACTGGTCAGTCAGACCGGCTTACTCAGTGAACCCGAGACCCCGGTGATTCTGGGGTCAGAAAACATGTTGATGGCTCCTGAGGAATAACACCCGAACTTGACCTTTGGCTTCCATATGCATGCTCACACATGTGTGCACATACACACACACACCAACCACACCCCCAATCACCATTAGTTTTTGGGTGCGTGGCATTGTTCTAGGAGCCCAGTGGAGAGGGAAGCATGGCTGAATCAACCCCATCCCTAACCCCCTCCACTGTGAGGTTCTAAATGCCACACTGCTTGAATCCTAGTAACCAAGGTCCTGTCACATTGCTCCCTCTAGTCAGGGCGCCCTGCCTCTCTAGGACAGCTCCCCACAAGAACCACGCTGGGTCAAAAGCGGTGTGTGGGTACCCTGACACAACACTACACTGACCCCTCCCCTCACCCCCGAAATCAAATTATAGAAGAAATAGGGTGCACAGCTATGATTTCCGACCATGGACTCAGACATGGTTATTTTTATACTACCTGAAGATTGTTCCAGATCTATCCAATTAAGAGGAGGAAGGGAGGAGTTGCTTCCTGCGATGTAGATGACGAACCCCACTGCTGGGAAAACGCAAGCCATCACAGACAGAGCTAGAGATGTGGTGCCTCAACGCTAATTAATTTATTATTCTCACTGCATCCTGTTTAGACACTCCATATGTTTAGCAGGGCCTGGACCCAGCTGCCCTTCAAGGCAAGGCGCTGTCTGCTTGGGTGTTCGTCATCTTAAAGGCGCCGACACCAAAGGAAATCAGTGTAGTTAATCAGAGGGAAAATGCATGAATCTGATAACTCCTGGATAGATGTGGAACTCTGGAGCCTGAAGGCCAAGAAGGGAGAGCCCACTACAGGGCTGCCTCACCCCAAGGGTCCCATTAGCTGAGAGAACCTGGAAGTCTGCAGAGTTTCTACAAGTGAGCAATAATCACCCCTCTGTTCCTAGAACCCTTTTGACCTTGGGGGCCAACAGGTCATAAGCAGTGGAGGAGAGCTTCCCGTGCCAATGGCCCCAAAGCATGCTGTACATCACATACCCAGAGTGCCTCCCACGTCTGCATGGTCCCCAGGAACCCGACAGCTCAGGCTGGCAGGCGGACAGGCAGCAAGTTACTGTGTCGTCTGCCACCAGATGACAGGGGAAGCAACTACTTTAAAGTAACAACGAAGAAATAAAAATAAGCTAACTCATAACAGCAGAGAGAAGAGGAGAGCCACGGGCCATCTACGGAGTCCAACAGAGTTCACAGGGGCAGGGTACAGAGAGAATCTCCAGGCACGATGGCGTAAGTGCTTCCAAACATTAAAGAGCAAGCCACAGGCAAACAGGAAAGATACCCAAGGAGATTTGCAGAGCAGCATGTGAAGGCCCTCCAGCACTGGGTGTGAACTGGGTGCGACCTGGGTGTGACCTGGGTGTGAACTGTTCCTTATGGGGACCTAAAGCAGAGGAAGTGCTGGGCTCCACATGTGGACACCATTCTGTGGGAACTGAGAGAGGATGGCGAAGTTCACAGAACAAGAGGTTTCTGTATTAAATTTGAAAAGCGACTGTCCTACTTCAGCTGTCAACTCCACACAGCCTGGAGTCCCTGGAGAAGAAAGTCTCAATAGTGGGACTGCCCAGATCGTATCGGTCTATGGGGATGGCTGTGGGGATTATCTTGATTAACTTATTAATGTGGGAGGACCCAGCCCACGGTGGGCAGCATCATCCCCCAGCAGATGGGTCTGAGTGGTATGAGAAAGCAGGCTGAGCAGGAGCCTGGGAATGAGCCAGCAAACAGCGTCCTCCGTAACTGCTGTCTGTCTGCCCTCTCGCCCTGCCTTCCCCTAATCATGGACTGTAGGCTGAAACAACCCCTTTCTTTCCTTAAGTTGCTTTTGGTCAAATCTCGTGTCACAGCAACCGACGGAAACTAGGACAACGGTGAATAGAAAAACCAAGCCAAAAACAGGGGAATAGTCCTCAAGAAGCTAAAGACGAAGGCTTGAGATCAAGCCGGCCAGTTCTCCATTATTCAAAGCCAAGAACTGGCGTGAAGGCACGTCACTGGGATAAAGCCATGGGGGCCTTTATGAAGGTCACACCAGGAGAGCCCAGGGTGGCCCTCACCGTGGGGCAGAAGACTTGCATTCTGCGTTTAGCAAATCTCGTCATTTTATTTACACTCCCTGCATGACACAATCTGGCAGTTAAGTGTCCACTGGATTAGGTCACCTAGTGGACACACCTCTAGATGTCTGTGTGTCCTCGAGGGTGTTTCCAGAGGAGGGGAGACCCACCCGACTGTGGCTGATGCCCAGGACAAATAAAAATAAATACAGGAGCAGGAAAGCCTAGTGGCCGCTGGCTCTGCTTCCAGACAGTGGGTGCCGTGTGGCATCTGCTCCTGCCGTGATGTACTGCACCCTCAAACTGTGAGCCCCGGTAAAACCGCCTCCATTCAAGCTGCGTTGAAATCAGTTGGGATGGCTGCTTTCTCCTCCTTTCTCTTCCTGGGGCTTCTTCACCTCTCTTTACATTTCCACACGACGTCCCCAAAACTTAACCGCCACTCCCACCACCTCTTTGTGTCCAGTCGGCACTGGAGAAGAGGTCATCGTCACAGGGTAAACGCCACACCTGAGGCCTGACCTCCCAAACCCACGAAAGCACAGCTGGTTGGGAGGAACAAGAGTGAATTCAGCCCACCACTGTGGACAGAAGCTCTTGCCCCGTGGGTTTCACTAAAGGAACTGCTACAGAATGAAACAGTATCTCCTATGGCATCATCTCCCCCTGCTCCTAAACCTGCCCCAGGCATCTTAAAGGCAAGCCATATGGAGACCAGGCAAGCACTAGATGCCTGAGGTGTCATGGTGATATTTTAAGCCCCTTTGGCTCAGTAGCCAGACTCTTGCTAAGGCGATGCAGTGTCACACCTGTGGGCCAGGTACTTCCTGACATGTGTCACTGGTCGTGGGAAGCCCTTCAACAAAGGTCAGGGTGTTCGTTCCATCAGCCTAAGTGCGCAATTCTGGCAGTGAGCCCTGCTGTCCCCTGCGGTCCGGGTGAAAGAGCCACCTCACCTTAGCCGTTCCTCCTCCTTTTTGCGAAGATTGAAGTCTCTCTGTACCACTTGGAGAACATGCTCCGTCTCGTCGTCTGTCAGACCGGACAGATCCAGCTTCCTCCCCATGATCAGAGTTAAGCACGGATGGCGGAACTAGATCTGGAGAGTGAGAGGACAGATCACAGACTGAGGATGAGGTCAAGCTCCATGTGGATAAAAATCCGCCCTCCGCTGACCCAGCACTGGACAGTTTCTGTGGAGGTGCGTACAAAGGCAGTGTGCCCCTCCAATCTCACACTCGCTGGCCAGACTGCAGCGAACAGGGCGACTAAGCACCTACGGGGTTCATGCTTTCGACTCTTCAGTGAAGACAAAGAGATCTGTGTGCTGGGCACGGGATTGCACACCTGTGACCCCGGCACACCTGTGACCCCGGCACACCTGTGACCCCGGCCACTGGGAATAGGCAGGATGTATCTGTGTATCAGGCACAATGTAGCACACCTGTGACCCCAGGGACGGGAAATGGGCAGGATTATCAAGAGTTTAAGGTCATCCTGGGCTACTTAGTGAGCTCTAGGCCTGGGATACCATAGGAAGGAAGGGAAGGCAGAGGGAGGGAAGGAGGGAGAGAGGGAGGGAGGGAGGGAGAGAGGGAGGGAGAGAGGGAGAAAAGGAGGGAGGGAGGGAGGAAGCCAAACCAGCAACAACAGAAAATCTATCCTTTTCATCAAAATAAAACAGATTTCCACAAAGCACTGAAAAGCAATAATCAAGAATTCTTAATTTCTGTAGTTTGATAGGTTATTTATGGGCATTCTATTTAATCACAAAATGAATTACAACATTTTCCTTAGATAAAGTAATATTCTATGGACACTATGCCCCTGAGAGTTTTCCGCAGGCCTATGCAGTAAACTCCAGAAGTCCTGGCATATGTATAAAGCTGGAGGGAAGCGCTGAAATGTTATGCTCTGTGAGTCTATACGGTAATACGAGGGCTGGGGACTGCTCTGTTGGGAGGGCACTTGCCTGGCATGCACCAAGCTCCAAGTGCTTTTGGCCTCAGCTGTAAGAGTTCAAGGCCAGCCTAAGTTGCATGAGACCCGACCTCAAAATTGAATGAACGGAGTAACATAAACTTCAGACTACACAAAAGATAATCTACATGTATCATAATGAGCTGTCTGAAACCAAACAAAAAATAATCTACACGTATCATAATCTACACATATCATAATAACAAGCTGTCAGAAACTATTCAAGAAAACACACTGGGATTGTAAAAACATAACAAAGCTGGGATTATAATAAATAAATGTTTTTAATAAAGTTCCCATTGAATGACAACACCTGCGGTGTGTCACAAGCTTTAGATTTTCATACACGTATATTAAACAAGTCTAATGCCCACTACGTCCTATGGGCAGGGACCACCCCACTTAGAGTTGAGAAAACGAGGCGTGCACTCACCCCTCGGTCACTCCCCCAGGAGTGACACCTGTGACCTGGCTGTCTCTCTGCCTCAGGTCACACTGGCCCTGCACACTCACATCTTATCTAAGAGAGGACAATGGAAGGTCCTGAGCCCCTGCCCCTCTTCCAATGCATACTGACTAGGAACACTAGGAGCAGCAGATTCCAGTGTGTGTGTGTGTGTGTGTGTGTGTTTGTGTGTATGTATGTGCATGTGTATGTGCATATGCATGTGTGCCTGTGTGTGTATATATGTATGTGTGTGCATGTATGTGTGTGCATGTGTGTATGCATGTGCATCTGTGTGTATGTGTGTACATGTATATGTGTATATGTGTGTACTGCATGTGTGTATGTATGTGTGCATATGTATGTATGTGTGTGTATCTGTGTGTATGTATGTGAATGTGTATGTGTGTGTGCATGTGTGTATGTGTGTATATGTATGTATGTGTGTGCATCTGTGTGTGTATGTATGTGTGCATGTGTGTATGGGTGTACATGTGTGTATGGGTGTGTGTACGTGTGTATGTGTATATATATATGTGTGCACATGTGTGTGTATGTGTGTGTATCCCATGTTGGTGCAGGTGCCTTCAGAGTGGTAGCTGTTGAAGAGTGTTGGGTCTTCTGGAACTGGAATTACAGATGTCTATGAGCTGCCAACTTGGGTGCTGGGAATTGAACTCAGGTCCTCTGGAAGAGCAGCCAGTGCTCTTAGCCACCAAGCAGCCCCTCCTGCCTCCTGGTTGTGGTGTTTGTTTGTTTATTTTTAAGAAAGGTCTTGCTATGTAGTTCTGGTGTACCTTCAACTCAAGACCCAGACTGGTCTTGAACTCACAGCAATCCTCCTGCCTCAGGCTCCTTATTGCTGGGATTGCAGTCACACTTCACCACCGCATTACCTGGTTGCTATTTTTTATAAGTTATGCGTTCTTTTCATTTCCAAACAGTAGCAGCAAATGGAGAAAACAGAGTGACTTTCAGCCTCGAGCCTCTTGTTAGGTGATTTAAAACCTTGTGACGGCATTATACACACTAAGCTCTAGATTTCACCACAAATCATGGCAGGAATGTTAAGCATTTAAAAACTTTCTCTCCAGTAATGCAACCTGATGACAACAAATCATCCACCAGCTTTCACCAGGTGACGCTGAGTTGGGAGGGTGAGTGTAGACCGCGGGTCAGCAGGGCCAAGGCAGGGCAAAAGTCCAGCCCCGGGAGGAACACGGTCAGACACCACCTTCAGCCCACCCACAAGCAGGAAGAGTGGGCAGAAGGCTGTAGCAGAAGTGTGGGTGGTTGTCCCCTTTAAATACCCCATTGAAGAGCTGGAGATGCTTAGTGGGTAAGAACACTGGCTGGCCAAGGTTGAAGACCTGAGTTCAAATCCACAGAAGTCACATACAAAGCCAGGCCAGTGCTGGAGAGCTGGCTCGGTGGTTAACAGGGCAAGGGCTGCTCTCACAGAGAGCCCAGGTTCAGTTCCCAGCACCCACGTGGCAGCTCACAATCATACATAACTCCAGCTCTATCAGATCGGCAGATGCCCCCTTCTGGCCTCTGTGGGAACCTGGCACACACACAGTGCATAGACATACATGTAGGCAAAACCCTTACAGAGTATAAATAGATCTCAGGAAAAAGAAAAAGCTGGGCATGGCCACACATGTAACTGTAACCTCAGCACTAGGAGCACAGAGACAGGAGGATTCCTGGGGTTAGCTGACTTCCAGTCTTGCTCTGGGTGTACTGAAGTAACAGTGTAGAAAATGACAGCAGGACACTTGATGTCCTCCTCTGTCTTCCACACACGTGTGCACAGACACACATGCTTGCACATGAAGTGCAGACACCACACACACAGACACAACACCCACCACACATGTATACAAATACCACATACACACACGTACACACACCACACACACAAGAAACTATACACCTACACTATCCATATATACCACATGCACACATACACCATATGCACACACACACCATACACACATATGCAAACATACACCATACATATGTACCACATATACCCCCAACGCAATATACCATACACACATACATAAACCACACACGCATGTACACACACACACACACACACACCACCCTGTTAGGGTCCTGGGGTGGGCCTTCCCTGCAGGTGATATTCCCGTGACATCACTGATGATGGTAAATGAGATCCTAAGATGCCAGGCTGGCTGGATATGGCAACGTGGATCAGATCAAATCTAAAAGGAATGATGGAGACTCAAGAGGGCTAAGTGGCTTCTGTGGCTCCAAATGGCGGGGACGGAATGGAGGGCACTTTCTGAGAAATGGAGCCAGCTCTTCCCGTTCAACAATGAACACAATTAGATGCCATATGCAATGAGTCAGGCAGTGCCACCGAGCCGAGGCAAGCTGCCTCTGCTCCTGAGTCAGGGGCACTCGGGCTGCACCGTGTCTCAGAACAGGAGACAGCACACTCTGGGAGAAGAGGCTCATGTCCAGACGCACAACAAGTGCCGCGTTCCTGCCCCCACTGGGGCTACCATCCTGCTCCCTCTGTCTGACACCCAACCTAGATGCAACGGGGGGAATACATCCTAAAATTTAGTGATGAGGAAATTAATTCCACCTCAGCATTTAATTACAGTGCCACCTCCCAAAAGTGTTTGCTGAGTTATTGTTCCCACGAGCAGCCTGTGACGGAGGAGCTCTTTTGTAATAAATCTGTCACGCTTTGCCATCCTCGTGGGGCTACACAAGGCTTATGAGATAATCGGCTCTAACAGTCTGTGGCTGAAGCGGTGAGTTGAGTCGTTTGACCCTGAACATGTGACTGCAGGGCAGTTTCCTGATCAGCACCCACCTTCTCAGGGTTAAATGGGAAACCACACAAAGTCAAACCACTGCTGAAGTGCCCTGGTCCCTTCCACGGGGCCCCTGAGGCGATGTATGAGGCCTCTGGATGTAATTGCCAGAAGTCATGTGATCTTCAGCAGCGCTTTGACAGGATTGGAGAGAGGCTAGTGGTTAAAACCATACTGCTCTTGCACAGGGCAAGGTTTGCTTCCTGGCACCCACATCAGGAACACACAGCTGCCTGTAGATGTGGATCCCCTGCCTATAGCCTCTGAGAGTGCCTACAGACACAAAAATATCATATATCAGCAGCATCAGCATCACCACCATCACCACCATCACCACCATCACCATCATCACCACCATCACCATCATCACCACCATCACCATCATCACCACCATCACCATCATCAACACCATCACCATCATCAACACCATCACCATCATCAACACCATCACCATCATCACCATCATCAACACCATCACCATCATCACCACCATCACCATCATCAACACCATCACCACCATCAACACCATCACCATCATCACCATCATCAACACCATCACCATCATCACCACCATCACCATCATCAACACCATCACCACCATCAACACCATCACCATCATTACCATCATCAACACCATCACCATCATCACCACCATCACCACCATCATCATCAGTGGTGGGCTAGGGCTGTGCCTCATCCAAGGCAGATGGGGGAGCCTCTGCCAGGGACTCTGATGTGGCTATTTAGTGAGGGTGTGAGAGGCTGGTGGCCTGCCACACTCCGGCTGGAGAGGCTGCCACACTCTAAT